ATCGTGTATGCAATGGATGGATGTACATGCGCAACGTGGAAGAGGGCTGAGTTTGGACCCAAGGCGTGAACTCTCCTGAAATTTGAATTTTGGACATACCATGCTTATCCCCTGCCGCACTAAATCGCCTCAAACCTTTTGCATTAGGTGGCAACATAACCTAGGTATATGGCGGCAGCATAGTTAGGCTGCAATACAACTACCTCGCGCAGAGGTCGGGTCGCGTGTGAAGCTCGCTCCCTGATTTTGGAGCTGCTGCATGGTCGTACGCTCTAGCTAAAGTCCAACTTTTTCACCCTACCGTGAGCAACTGGACATATAAAACATACCCTGGTGTGCCCTGGTATCTTATTTACATACCTCTTCTTAAATCTGGACAGTTTATGCCCTCGTTCGCCCTCAAGAGCCGGTGCTAGGTGTGGAGGTCTGTTGCCAAGCGAGCCGCCTGATCATAGGGGTTTCCACAAGGGGCTGCTTTCCCGTTGGAAGCGTCATTCAGCGTACTTACTTTTTTTTTTTCTGTCGTGCAGCACTGTTGATCAGCCTTCCGTTAGCTTTCGTTTGAGCACTTCAGGGTGCCGATCGGCGCACGCAGCCCCGAGCTACAGCAACGCGCCCACCAGCAGTCTGGATGGGGCGCATCTTCGCCTTCGTTGGCCTCCTGCTGCTAAGCATGGGTCGGAGTAGTCGGTGTAGAGTGAGAGCGGAGGCTGCTGCGAGGGCCTGTGAGGCGGTCCGCAGCGGTAGCATGTCACGCAACGCTGCTGCTGCGCCTACCGGGTCAACAAGACGTCGCTCTCGCGGCGGCTGAGCGGTGAGTGTGCCATGGACGCGCGGGTGGGCCCCGGGACTGCCGTGACCGCAGCAGAGGAGGATGCGCTTGAAGATGTTCTTCTGTACGCTGGTCGGAACTATATTCCGCTCACCACCGCAGACCTCACGGAGCGTGTGAGACAGCTCCGCAACGACGGTCGACCGATCCCATGGACCCCTGACAAGGGCCCGGGGAGGAGCTGGCTTGAGGGCTTCCTCGGACGGCACGAGCGCATCAGCCTTCGACTCGCCCGCATCTACGAGTCCAAGAGGGTGACCTCCGCGGAAGATGAACGTCTGCACAAGTTCTACGACTTCTGGGGCTAGTTCCTCGACGAGCACCAGCCGGCGGCCGACCATGTCTGGAACACGGACGAGTCAGGTGAGCAACAAAGGGTAGTGGTGTGGTGTCGGCAGTAGCTGCTGTGTGACGGATTGTGAGCTTGTTTCTACATTTGAGCTGCTGTGCACGACGTGAAAAATAGGCAGAGTTCTGCGGCTGCTGTAATAAAAAATCGAGTTTTCCCGCAGCGCGTGGTCTCCGCAGAGGCACCGCTACATGAACGCGCAATTGCTGTCGTGTATGCTGGCTGCAGTTTGGGATCCTTGTACATGTCGGCAGCATGCACACACGTTGCTCTTCAAGAGCAGTTTCGCATGCTGATACACATGATTTTTGGCTAGCACACACACGGAATTGATGTGTGGGAAGGAGAAGCTTGTCGCGGTGCTGCTGCTTCTGCTGCTGCTGCTGCTGCTGCTGCTGCTGCTGCTACTACAGCAGTGGCCCCTGTGGATTTTTTTTTCTCGAGGCTCAACTCGAGAAGGCTGTATTCTAGACTAGTGCGATGGCCCCAGCTGTGCAGCTGCGCCGGTACATTTTGCATGTGAGAACATCCCACCGTGTTCGCCGTTCTCTTCCCCACCCGCTCCCCCACCCATTTTAGGCTGGACGTTGGTGGTGTGTGAAAGCGCTATTGTCCCCTGTACTTAATCTCCTGCTGCTTCTCCCTCCCCCCTACTCCCGCTTTGCCGCCGCAAAAAATCATTGCAGGTGGCACCGTGCAAGGTACGCAGGGACAGAGGTTCGTGGCGGAACGGGGGCAGCCGGTGGTCGCCCAGATGCGCTCCACCTCGCGAGAGAACTGCACGATCATCACCACCATCAACGCCGCCGGCGC